GGGGTCACCGTCAATGCTAGCACGCATTTGGAAAATATGGTCGGTGTGTTGCATTGGCAAATGAAGGTCATGCTGGACTATTTCAATGAGCCAGAAACATTTCATTGGGCTACGTTCTCCTCTTGTTGAATTTTTGTCTCTCTGTCTCTCTCTCTCTCTCTCTCTCTCTCTCTCTCTTGTATGCTTTTTTCTATCACTTCGTATTCTGCCACATTATCGATTTTTTTAATCGCACTAACTGCCTTTGAAGCAACCTACTAGTGATGGACCTTTTAACTAATCCCGAACTCTCCATTTTCTACTCAGTATGTGTGTGTCAGATTAGAGAAAAAAAAAAACAAATAACATCAAACAATAAAAAGTGTATTTATTTTTGCAGAGGTTCTAAATTTGTACATATCAATTTTAATTAAAAATTTGGTTTAGAAATATTTGGTTACGCAGAATAAAATGGCATCGTATTTACATAAAGTATGAAAGGGAAAAGTGCGTAAGTCAAGCACTTGCCAAAGTTTCGTGTGCGTAAATATTAACTTCGCTGGGTAGTTGAGGGGAACATATTTTCAGAATGTTCTTTACATGCTAGCGTTCGTTAAGGGGTTTCTGCTCTGCTTCGTGTCGCTCAGGCTTTATCGTAAAACCGTTGTTTCCGCAAATAAAGATTGACTCTAAAAGAAAAATTGAAATACATTTCTGCTTCAAAAAATTAAGTATACCTTTAGGTGACTCTTTAAAAAAAAAAAATAAGAAAAACATACCGTTTGCATCGAGTTCGTTCGCAATTTTCGCCTGCTGCTGATGTAGGTTGTGCAAGTGTTGACACGTTGCAGCTGGAATGCATCGTCGATTCCTAAATATGGTGAACGAATGATATTCAACTAAAGGCGATTGTCTGTATGTATACTAGTGTAGTAAACACGACTGCTTAACGCTAGCATTATAAGTAACGTAAACAAAAAAAAAAAAAAAAAAGGAACTGGTACGCACATACGTATATTATATATATTTTAAATTTAACTGGTGCCAGACGAAGTGCTGCATTTTGTGATTTTCCTTTTCTAAGGAGCAATAACAAGTAATGTAGAGCCCAGCAAGTAAGAAGGGGAACCATTTCTTACTAACGGTTGCCGTGAAGCCATAGCTTTAGCGAATAGTTGAAGGGATAATACATTGCGATCGGACATACATCTCCCTAGTTGGCAGCCCAACCCTCTTTCTCCCGTTCTTTCACCCTAATCATAATTGTGCTTACACTGTGTGTAATATACCTACAGAGGGCATCGCCTGAGTAACCAATCAAGAAAAAACATGAGAAGTAACACACAAGGTGTTGTTTTGTCTTTTCTTTGCTTAAATGATTCCCTAAATTTTTAATTAACTATCCCAAAATTCAGTGTTACATAGCACACTATGGTTGCTTGAAGGTTTAGTTGCAAGCATGTCGTGGAAAAAAGCAAAAGCACTCAAATTTACCTACCATAGTTTGCTACAGGTATGGAGGTATTAATGCGGAAAAGTGTCAAAAAGTCGCACAGATTTGGAATCTCTGGTTTTAGAGAATTGCTTGATTGCTTTGAATAATGTAACATATACTTAGGAGCAATCAATATTTTGGTTTTAATAAATCAAATCGGGCAAGCATGAGTGATTGGGCTAAACAGCATGCATAACATTGAAAGCATTTAGTTAAGTCAAGATGAACTTATGACATTATTATCAATACAATTAGCGATGTGATTGAAATGAATATTTATTTTATGTATTTTGCTTGGGAAATAATACCAGTTTATTTGCAGCATGCACGCAAGTGTTTTAGCTAACGAAACGATTAACACTTAGATCATGTTATTAGTGACAGAAAAGAACTTAAGCAAAAAAAATATGGAGGCACCTAATGCGTATTTTAGGTTTCCTTATTAGACCACCAACAATATGATGTTTGAATTTGAAGGTCATCTCACCGGTAGCTTCGTAACTTCGGTCGTCGCGTGAATGAAAAAAATGACGTAAGCAGCAGCAACGTCTTAAGCCGGGAACTCGATGGATGATTTGAAGAAAACCGCCACGAAAACGTGCATTCATATAACAGTAAATGATGGGATTGTAACAACTGTGTGACATGGCCAGCCAATGGAATGCAAACCAAATATACGGCAATGGACCCCATAAACGAAACTCTTCATCGTTTAACAGCAGCTGTCACCAAAAATGAAATTAAATTAAATCAACAAAACACTCTGGAGCAAGAAGCATGAAAGCAATTTTAAACTTTTTTTTATTATACCGTGGAAGGGTCATTAAGTTTTACAGTAGGAAAAAACAACTACTTACACGCTCAAGATACTTACAATAAGTATGTTAAATGGCAGCCAGCACATGGTGAAGACTATCACGACAGTCACCATCATTTTAATCATCTGCAAAGAAATGCAAAAGAGATTTAAAATACAGATTAAAAGAGATACTTAAAATTGATTATATGCGAACGTGAATAGTGAATAACTTTTCGTTTTACTACCTAAATGAACGGGAGTTAATTGTTTCTTGTGGCGTACTTAAGTGCTTAAATCGAAACTTTCAAATTTATAACATTCTTTTTATTATATTTCATCTATTGCTTCTCGCTCGAAACTGATGGTTCTATTTAACAGCAATCTAGACTATCAGTGCAAGTATTAAAGTGTCATCAGCTTCTTATTGTATGTTTAGACTCTCATCTATTGTCTTTATAGAGAAAAATGTCGATCGCCAAGGTGAGTATCATTGCTTTAGATTGTTGTTTGCCACAACTTACAGTAGCGAACAGTTGGTCAATTTGACCTTTACTTTTTTCAAAATATTGATATTTGTTATAAAAAGATTTTTCTTTTTTTTTCTTCTTTTTTTTATTTATGAAACGAGGTTAAGTTGTGAATTAACCGTTCAGATTACATAATGTATAAATCGCTTTATTCCGAAACATATGGAAGTTATTTAATCAATCAATCGATTATACGTATTGTTTTATCTCTATTGCCATTAGGTCGAGAGGGGTTTAAATTAAAGAGAATTTTTTTATTTTTCTTTATTAATTATAACAATTTCATAAGCGTGCAATGATGGGCTTTAAGGCAAATGCTTTAATTGCAAAGGTTTTAAACAAAACATCCCCGCGACTTAGTCTTTATACGTTACCGCGGCAATGTAGTTTGCCGTTTGTAATGCCTTGAAGACCATTCCCAAGGAGCTTATGTTGACCATTTTTATTCCTGGTGATCCTCGCTTTGCCTCACAAATGCAAACCTATAACAAGTTAAATGTTTACCCAATTCTAAGGTAATTTTTATTTAAACCCAATCTTATCTCCGCAGCTGCTTTTTCCCTACTAACTGATTACTTTTTCCGGTATCATTGCATATACGATGTGGACACTTCCTCGAATGGGATAAATTAAATAAAACGAGCTCTTTTCTGGGCTGACTAGACTACTGGTGTAAATTTTCTGCTAAATATCGACAGGCAGGATTAAGCGGTGGGGTTAAAGTCGATTAAACTAACTAACCGTCTAAGTAGTCCAGTTGATAACTTAGGTCATTAAACAGGATGACTGATTACGTGGTTCAACTTCTATGATGACTTGACTACTTGAACAGACGAACAATCTGCATACACTAGATTCCTAAAATGACTTATAAGTAAGCAAGTAAGTAAGGTTGGCGATCGAAAAACTAGCTTACCAAACGTTTAACTAAATGTTTAATCGTCTGAACAAAGAAACTGATAGATTAGAACATGGCTGGTTTGCTGGCTAGACAAGCCAGCAAGTTTGAATTGCCGTTCGAAGTTTTTCCAAAAGAACTCATCATAAAAAGAATCGGAATAGTTACTTTCTCATAAGGGTAGATTTTTGATTCCCTCTCTAGCATTAGTACAAAAAGGCTTTTAATTTAGCTCTCACGTTCAAAACGCTTTTGGAAACCATTTGTACTAAATCTTAGCAAAGTATCTTCTTTGGAGATTGTAAGTTGGATTTTTTTGCTTGCCATGGTCGTGGCTTCTTGCATTTGCTTTGAAACTTTATCAAATAAGCAGCTGTTTGCATCACTTCGTAGTGTAACCGGTCTGTTGCACGGCAAAGAGGCATTCGTGTGGATGGACAGACGAACAAATAACGACTTAAAATCTTTTTCTAATCCATAATATATAACTGCATCCTCAAGGGCTACTAATGAATACATCTGCATGTTGCGAAGGGGAAAACAAATCAAACATGTCCGCATTTTCAAGTGGAGGATATAAGAAACGGCAAAATTACTTGGTATATATAAATGAAACAATACGAATAAATATTACATTACATTATTACACATTCTACTCTACAAAATCTTGGAATTGAGGTGCATGGGTGATGCTGCTCTCAGTTACAATTTTTTGAAACTTAAGAATGGAATTTTCTTGCTATTGTTTTGTATGTTATATGCTTCAGGATAATTGAATAAAATATCTTCAGTTTTATAGCTATACAACAAAATGTGGTCGTAAAAAATACATTGTATATAACAAATTATTTCCATACCATTACCATGAGCGTTACTAGAGGCAAAATATGTTTAGAGCAAAAGTATCGTAAAAGAGCGCACGTAATTCGGGAGAAGGGTGGGTGAAGTGCAAATTTAAAAGCAAAGAACACGAAACACGTGAAAAGTTTAGCAAGAAATTTATTTACTCAACCTTCCCTACATGATCAATAAGCAAATTGGATAAGGCAAACTTTGATTTTTTTCCATTTATTAAAAGCTTTCACAGTAGTATAGGAGAGGGTGTTTATAAATAAAAAAATTCATTTAATATGTTGTTTACTTTTTTTAAAAACAAAAAATTTATCAAGAACCATTATTTTTACATTATTTTCTTATATAAGTTTAAGAAATGCAGATGTAAAAAGAAAAGTTTGCCTAATGTATTGATACCAACCAAAAACAAAAAACAAAAAGATCAAACAAAATCAAAAAAAAGTAACCGTAACTAGTTTGTTCGCAGCGAGCACATTGTCAAACCAAGTAGATATGCATTTACTCTTTTACTTATACATATAATAACAGAATTAAGAATTGTTCGAGCATTTAAGCAAACAAAACAATCTAAGTTCGAACGACCATGCATAAGTAATGAGTTATGGGTATGCATTAGTTGCGTATAATGTTTGTATACAAACAACAAACACATGCCTGCGGTCGCATCAAATCTTTTTGTGTGTTTCACGCAACCATGCTCATGCCTGCTAAGTACATATGTGACGAAATTCTCCGAACATTGCTTTCTTATGAGTAATAATATGCTGTGTAAAATAATTTTCAAAGGCTCCTGAAACGTTTTTCAGAGTAAATAAAATAAAATAATTATAAAATATTTAAAAGAACGTAAAGATTTATTGATTAAAGCATAAAAAAACGAATACAAAGATATGAATATCGCGACTTGAGAAAAATAATTAATAAAAGTTAGCAATGAAGTGTTTTTTCTTTGTTTCGGGAAATCGGCCATGAGCGTTCGACACGTCGTTGATACACTTCGTCGCAGACCACTATTATGATTAAACAATGAAGAAACTCTCGGTGGTGCTAAGATGGTCTTAGCAAGTTTTCATTTTATTTTTTTAATTTGTGATTTGCAAACATAATTGGAGGCTACCGACAATAGTTAATGCTTTGTTTGCTATAAATGTTTTCCCATATAATTGTTTGTTCAATTGATGTTACGCTAAATATATGCATATACGTAAGTTTAACTTGTACATCCTTTATGCGAATATATTTGAATTTAATATTTATTGTATTCAACACAATTATTGTCTTGTAAATGTTTATATGACTTTAAATTAGTGTAGTTGTCAATATTGTTAAACATGCAATTTCTTCGAAAATTAAACTCGAGGCACGTACGACAACATCACATACATACATACATACATACGTTGATGCCTGCTTGTACGGGCTGTGTGTATCGTGCCAACATCGCACACACAGGGTTCGATGATCACCATCCATCAATTACGAACACAATTCACACATGGGAACGCATGTTGATGTGCTCTGATCATACACATGCATACATACATATCGTTAAATGATGATCAAGCTCTCGTTATTGTTCAAAAGACAGTTGACTGTAAAGTGTTATAACATACATGCAAACAATTTTCATAATATTTTTTTTTTCTCTGCTACCGTTACGACGGATTACGGATTATTTCCAAGCAATAATTGTGGCGGCAGCCGAAATAAAATATAGATAAATGAAATGTTGATGATGATTCATGTGACGAGTACATGCGTGCGAAACAATATAATAATCTCTGCCAGCAACTAATAAACTATGAGTCTATGTTCGTGTTATTGGGTAAGGAGAAAATCTATTGTTTCTTTGATGATGTATGCATGCATACGAAGAAAGAAAAGGCAAAAATTAAATCAATAGTTTATGTACTTTCACGATATCTCCTTGCATGGGGGCTGTCGCGTTGTAGTCCGCTTAAAGAGTAAAAACTTACATTCAATCGGTTTATTTTCAATTATCGCATATTGAGAAAAAAAACAATACAATTAAATAAATTCAAATATTAGCCAATTATAATATCATTATAATAAAATACACATTGCATCGCGTATTAAAACCAATTTTCCTTATGCACGTAAGATCCCGTGGCTAACAAAAGATATCAAGCACATCTTGATTGCTGCATGCGTGGAATAGTCTTCGCTAGTACAAAAAAGAGAAATTTTTGAAAAGCTTTATTTTTTCCTTTACTACCATGAAAACCTACTTTCGGAAGTAGTTAAGTGTTCAACAAGGTATTTCAAAGCCTACGCGACTGCCTCATGCAGTATGTGTTTCTAACGTGACTCTGAATATGATACTTGGCGGCTATTATTGTTCTTTTTCGCTCGGTTTTTGTGGATGGTGGCGAGATGTCGGGAAGAGTAGAAAGCTACTGCTTCATGATATAGTCTTTTGCAAGTACTCCTTGCTAGGGAAAGCACCAGTTTTTCTTTATAGTCAGTCAGTCGATTTTCATTTTCATTTGGATTCCATCATTATTGTTTATTTATTTAGTCAAGCACATACATATATATGTAAAAACAAAACAAGTCCACTCAACGTTCACCCTTTCTCATAATATTACCAATTATGTTAATGATGTATTTGCAAGGAACAATCGTTAACATAAACGCACATATTTGCTTTCAAAGCACAAAGAATTCGGACGTAGTTTTTCGAGCGTAAACTTTCAAGTTTTTTTCACAACAATTTGTTGTTTGTTTGATGTGCACACTCAACCAATTAGTGTAACTTTTTGTGCGTTTTCTTACAAACATTTTTAATTAAAAAATGTAAACTATGTATATGTGTTCTGCGAATAAATCTTTCTTATTTTTAACATCCATCAATTTTGTAATTAGTGACGCAAAGAAAGAATCAATGGAGGCAAACTTACTTTACTTTATTGGGAATGCGTGAAGAAGAAAATGATTTTTTATCATTATTTTTATTTATTCACGTTTTTTTTTTCAAAACAAATTTACTGAAAGTGACCTTTATTACAACGACAACAAAAAAAAAAAGACAGAAGGCTTACTGCCTCCTTGTTATTAGATGCACAGCGGGGAATTAACAGGTATTGTTTTTACAGAAGCGATGAAATTACTTCCAAAACTGTTAATAAAAATTCATCAGCTTGCGAAAAATTTATAGTAAATAAAAAAAAAAAAAAATTAAAATAGTAATAAAAAAAGGGGGAGAAAAATATATTTGCGTTTTATTAATCATAATTAAAAAGGTCTTTTGTAATTTTTTCTCTTTCGCCTGACTTTTTAAAACATTTACAAGAGACAAACAAGTTCTGCTCAAACGATTACAACGGCTGAAGGCATCTGCTTGAGCAATGAAATGTGATATCATTTACTTTTACGCGTGCAATATCCGCATCCAAAGTTTTTAATGTAGGGTAAATTAAGTTCACAAAAGGATGTATTTTTTAACGTAACAACGATTTACATACACGCGAACGCCATATATATGTATATTTATATATATATAGATATATATCAAAAAGACGGTTGGATTTCTGCGAAGGGACACAATTGCTTCATAACTTCATTCAACGCAACAGCAACGAATTGTAAGCGAGGGTTTTTTTTTTGGTTTGTCTTTCTTCTTAAGGTTAACTCTTCAAAAGTTATGACGAAAGCAGCAGAATTGCTTAACGATCTCAATAAAAGTACGCGATCACGGGGCATGGAACAGTAAACTGCCAATAGTGGTTTCAAAAGTTTTAGCTCGTGAATGATAGAGCTTTAAAGAAGGAAAACCTTGTTTAGGCACTGTTTGATTAATCCGAAAATGACCCGAAAAGGTACACACTGCTCGAAGAAAGTCTCAACGAAACTGCTAACAAAGTAGTCAATTTCGAATGCAAATGCTTCCTTATTCCATAATAAAAATATCAGTCCACATTAAACCTTCAAAAGTCAAAAAAAAACAATTTATTTGAAAGGCTTATTACGAACCGAATTCAAGATAACAAACAAATGAATTGCTGACGATCTGATTTCTCATTTCAGAAAGGGTAAAAAAACGCTTTAAGCAATGAAAGTCAAAAATAAATATTAAAAAATACTTAAATGCTTCATGAGTATGTAGGCACGAGAATGAACCTATCCTCTTATCCTAACCTATCCTGTGTTTATTATCAACTGTTTTTTATTAGCTACGTACATGTAATCTTTCATTGATACGATAAAAGCATTGACGCATGAGTTTTTTCGCATTTTTTAAATTTAAATACGTTGTACGTATACTTTTATGATGATTAAAATTCAATTTGACGACGTCGACCTCATACATAGTGTAACGCTTCTTACACTCAACAACCCCACACATATATCAAATGATTTGATTATTTTTTCTTTAAACATAGAAAGAAAAAAGAGGACTATTTGTTCTTAATCCGAAATCGATTTTCAGTCAGTACCGTTATGTTTATCTGACTATCCGCCCTTTCGATCACCTGCGTGTTTTTTCTTCGGTCTGCTATTACGATAAAGTAATGAAAGATAACGTATAGAGAAGACACCCGGAAAGGCCAACTCTTTCAAATGATCATAAACTTGGGGGGAGTTCATTTTGCCATGGCCGTGTCGTCATTCTATATCAAAATTATGATTCAAAAATAAACATTAGCGTTTAGTAGACATGAAAATTCAATATAAATATAATTTTTTAGTCTCATATGGCCATTATAACAAAACGTGTAGTTATTGTTGCTCATGGTATTTTTTTTTTATATCATAATCCAATGATTGCCCTGGATATCAACGATGTTATTATGCAGTGTTTTGATTCAATTTTTGACATAGTTTCGCTTATAACGACGCATGTACATCACGTTCGTCGCATTATATTAATAATGGAAAGCAAATGTTGTATAGTTTTTGCAACAGATTTGATGAGAAAATATATTTTTGGACGTAATCCAAACAGCTTTGCTGATTAACCATTACCGTTAGGAAAGCCATCCAATTAATCATATTTTTTTATTTATTGCCTTGAAATGCTGCTTAAAAGCAAAAATCGTAAAAGTGCCAACTGAATGATTGAGCTTTCTGGGACATTTCATGCCATGCATTCATAGGCAGGGTGCGTAGCTAAACAATACTAATGAAGTTTTCATTACAACAATGTGTATGTTATAGAGATTGCTGTCTTCTTTTTTGCAATCCGAATCCACCGTGAGAATGCTTTACTAATTTCGAGAATCTGCACTTTGTACATGAGAGAATACAACAACAGATCGATCAATAAAAAACAAAATTTCCAACAAGTTTAACTTTGGCTTTCTGTTACTTTCAGATTTGCTCAAGTATATCTGTTTGTGATGTGATTAATCGAATCAACCAAACGATGAGATGAAGACAACAGCTTGCTTGATCAATGATCCCTAAAAATGCCATTGAGCCTGAGCAACGTTATGATCAGAGGACCTTATACTTATACAAAACTCAGGTAAGCGTTTACTTTGCATCTCAAACATTTTCATCGATTTCGTAAAAGCTAACCTATCTGAGCTACATGATCGACTGCTTTCAATCCCTGCATGCCTTGTATCTTATATTATACGCTTTAGCTTTTTAAAAACAGAAAGGAAAACATAATCGCCTCGGTTCAAAAATGTGACGCCCAACACGTATGCTTAGGGTTTTTAGTTGTATGCTAGATTATCAAGATTCAGTTGCTCGAGGCACATTGTAACTGGCACCGCATATATACCCCGAATAGTGTGCCATATATGTATCATAAAACACATTTTCGAGAAACAGCCAACGTCTCATTAGTAATTGGAAAACTCTAAAAAAAAAAAAAAAATTATTTCCCTGGCATCGAACTCACGGGAGTGAATGGAAAAAATGTTTTTTCTTCCTGCGCAATTTTTCAGGCCATTATCATGGCTCCAAATCGAAGTCTAGGCAAAAGGAGAGAATGAGAAATGATTTACACTATTTAAGCTGATGATAACACAGCCTCCGATCGCTAGCTCCGAGCGCTTCGTCCACATAACTGTTTAACTTTAAAAAATGAAATTAGACTCCAAACGAGGTCTTGGCTCGTCTAAGCCCCTTTTCATCGGTTTGGTATCACACACATCTATGCAAAAATATTCGTTAGTCTCATTCAAATGATATGAAATATTCCTCTCGCTGCCTGCCATCGAGACTTTCTAAACCCTGACGATGTTAGCAATCCAGACGGTTTACCTCACCTCCTGTCTTTCCCAATATTCACACGTTCGGTGTTTCCCCTTCTCTCCTTGCTCTATTTATATAATCCTTTCCGTGCTTCCACGTACGGAGACATGTTCTGACCAACTATAGATTAAATTCCGAGAGATTTAAACAACTCAGGCCTTATACCATATATTTGATAAATTTCAGTTGATGGAGCATGCAAAGGGAATTGAAGTGCAGAGCGCCATTAAATCTTAAAACATTTTCGTTACTACGTTGTACTACTATGACATGTACACGCATACATACATCAGTGTTAACACGGGTATAATGGCAACCATTAAAATCGTGTACATGAAAAAAGCACTACAACTTTTTAATAAAATTCATCCTTTTTTTTCTCTCTCTCTCTCTTTTTAATGTTAACTATGAAAGAAATTTAATCCAGTTTCGTCCTTAAAATAGATTTTTTTATCTGAAACATTCGCAAAGTTTGTATATATTTTTGCTTGCATTATTTTTTTTTCTTTTCGCGTTGTAATCTTATATTCTTGTTTCAGCCTGCGGTGGAATGAAATGAACACTTTTACATATCTTTCCAGGCGAATTATGTCAGTAACACAATGAAATAAAAAAAACAGTGAAATTTTTAAAAAAAATCAATTTAAAAAACAATCTCGTCTACATTAATGTCATTGAGTTATGCGAGTTTTTAAAACAAGATATTTATAGGTATAATGCGGAAATGTCAGGACACAAGCGTCTAAAAATTGACGTAAAGTTTAAAAAAATTTCGTGGTATTTTACTATGAGATGCCACATGAGTAGATGTGCATAAATATGAGATGAGATGTGCATAAGTATGAGATTTACATACACCACCATAGCGTTTTGTTTATGCAAATCATTCTTCTTGATCGTGTAAATTATAAAATCTTTTGTGCGGAATGGGTGCAAGGATATAGGTTGAGGTCTCTTTCCCATTTCGCCACACTTCACCCTTATAAACCGAGGGCATTAACCTCTTATAAAAATTTCGAAAGTTGCGTGTCCAGCATTTCGTTTGCTTCGTCTTAAAGGCTTCTATAAGTGATGCGGCATCTGTGTTAGATTGAAAGTTAGTTGTGTGCGATTTCGGTTGTAAACCTTCCATTGGGGTTAATGTTTGTATGAAGGGCAAAAATCAACTTTTGAACTATTTTATTCCCTTATGGCCAGGACGGAAGGAAAGTGTAAGTGCAAGTGTAATCGCGAGGGGCTTGAATGTCAATTAAATGGCGGGAAGATTTTGATTTAATATAAAGAACTATTTTTTGAAACGAATCTCCATCAATGACGACAAACGGATTAGCTGCCCGATAAGATAGTTCAAAGGAGAGTTTGATGGAAACCTCAATCAGTTTATATTGTTTTTTTTTTTTTTTTGGAAACTACAAAGATAATCGAATTCAGCAACTCGTTGCTATCCGCACAAAACTCTCCAGTCGTAGAGCTTCGGAAAACTTTCTGCAATTGTGGTGACCTGATATTTGATTCATTTTTTCGCCTCTGAGGAGGAGATATGCTATGAAATTGTTACAATAATCGAGAGAATCGTCATAACATAGAATTCATTCTTTAGATAAAAGTGTAAAACCAAAAAGCATTTACTTGTTTGCCAACCTATTAATCTTAAAAGTGCCATATTATTACAGAGAAAGATCAATTGAGCAACTAAAGAAATAGTTCTACAAATAAGGGCATACACTAGCTATTGCAAGGCAACTTAATAAGCCATTCTTGGTTTCTTAAAAGCAAACCAATTGCTCTCTTAAAATCACGTACATCAGACGTAATTGTAAGTTGCAGTTTCTCGCACTCCTCAAATAGAATTACTTGAAACCGACAGATATGTTCGCCTAAGAACTTTCTTTATGTTGTTGCTGTTCGGGTCTGATTTTCTTTGATCACAACATGTTATATCACATGTTTTCAAGAATTCCACAGATTCTATACACATGCATATATATTCGCGGATTCTATGCATTCTGTATGCACGCACACAGAAGCCAATAATAGTTCATTTTCACGACCATAAGCTTCAAGCTTGAAATTTATAGTCACAACTACAGCTGTAAACATCTGCTCGCACTCAGGCTTAGTGAGGTTTGTGTACGAGGTTACGTACAAAAATAAAGCAATAAAGAAAATATTTTTTTGCGCAGATTGTACACACTAGGAAGTTAAATAATCAGCAAACACACAACAACAACAACAATAACAACAACAACAACGAAAAAAAAAAAGAAAATTTTTTTTGCGTATTTTTTTGTTTTGCTGTTTTTATTTTTTTAAGGCAAAGAAATGAAGACAGATGATGCATATTGTTGCATGGCAATAAAATAACAGCAACAAAAATGTTGGGAATTTTGCACAAAAATACAAAACTTTAGCTGTATACTACATGCACAACATGTATTTGGGCAAAAAAATTTGAAGAGAAGAGCAGAGAGATATGAAAATAAACTTTGGTTTTGTTATTGCAGCCAGTAATCCAGTCGAGAGAAAGTGAAAGTGATAAAGGAACAATAATAATAAACATCAGTCCCAGAAAGAAAGAAGCGAAGAGGGTTCAAAACAAACACATATAGAGATAAACAAAATGCAAATGTCTACATGTGTGTGTGTGTGTGTGTGTGTGTGTGTTTGTATGTATATGCTTTATATATGCATTTACATACATCTATAACCATACGAACGAACGTTTGTATCAATCTCTAGCATCTGCCGTCGAAGCGAATTGAAGATGCTCTCAAGTTTACACTGCACAGCAAGCAACAAAATTAAAGTCAAGGAAAAAGATAAGAAAATGTTTTTTTCACCAACCAAAAGGTATAGAAATCAAATAAAAATATAACTACGACGAATATCACTATGCAAGATAGTAAAATTAGGTACAAATCTGCAACATTGTTACTGATATTAGGGTCGACAGGCACATAACCATCTTAAATACATTAAAGCCTTTACAGCGGAATAAGTTTCTCCTGAGTAATGGCTTTTAAAGCCTTAAAATGGCCGATATGCATTGCTCTCTCTTTCCAGGGAAATAAGACAAGTAATATTTATGTTTTGGGCATGTCAGTGGGCAAATTTTCCAATAGTTTGTGCGCAGTTTTTCAAGATACGAAAGTTACGAAAACTAAGTGCAACAACCAACGTTGCTTTCATTCAATAGCAAATTCAGGGAAACACGCGACTAAAAAGATTATCATCTACGTTCCTTGAACAATATCTAATTGAAAGCGATGATGCAATATACCTCAGCTGTGTAGACTTCATGCTATCGCTGACTAACAGGGTCATCTCTTTCCTGTCAGGCGCGTTAAATGTCTTGTTCGCGTTTCGTTCACTATCACGTTTGTATATCGAGTTTGTTAATCAGTTTTCTTAGCTGATAGATAGAAGAATACCTGTTGCTTACTTCATTCTCATTAATTCACTTGACCCTTTATTCGTTTCTTATGGCAATTCACAAAATTTGAATGAAGTATGGAAAGATGAAATTCGGTACATAAATCCCTGCCTAAATTAAAATGCTTGAAGAAGTGAAAGCATTCGCCCACTCACCTACAGGATCCATCGTGAAAGCGATAAACGCCCAACCACATCGCAATATGAATAAATGAAATATCAATTCCAATTGGCCCAGTAACATACATCTCTGCTAATGGGTAGGTATCCAATATTCGCTCCTATTTGCACATAATTTTTTTACTCACTTGCCATGTCTTCGTTTTTTTTTCGGTTGTTTCTTGGCATTTCTCTTATTAAATGCTACACTTTATTAAAGTCAAGTGTTATAGTGTCTCTACCGTTATATCTGGTTTTTACTTCTTGTTTTCTTTCTTGACACATTATTACATATCTCTTGAACCTGCCACATGCTTTGCCGTTGCCTTTGTTTCGTTATGAGCGAAGAAAATCATTCTATAAGCAAATGTTACGATGATAAGTCTTTTCTTTTCATTGTTTGCATTAGTGTTTGTGCAAATTTTTCAAAATTTATTTTTCAGTTTTTCTTCCATACATAAATCTAATTTAGATAATGTGTAAATTTTATTACTTAACGCCGATTATGCATTTTACGTGGAAACTTGCATTTACGATTGAACTTTAATTAGCGCCGTATCAATGATTTTGTGTGTAACATGTAGCTTGAAAAGTCGAGGTTATCTTACATAACATATCTATTAAATACGAGCAAAGTTTCATTTACGCTTTTTATATATAAAGAAGAAA